TTTATGGACAGCTCCCCGGGGGAGGAGCCAGAAGAAAGGAAACAGCAAGAAAAACACAGACCTGTCGCTGTGTTATTGATTTCCTTGAAAAAGAAAGACAATAATCCTTCAGTCAGGCAACTCCATCTGAGCGCCGGCTGCGTTTGAAGTGAGACCTGACTCCACACGGGAGACTCAGCTCAGCTCAGGAGTTGGCAGGCGCATTTTGGGGTGTAGCGAAGAAGTTCGCGCTTCTAGGGGCCCCGGGTGGCCGACGACCCTGCAGCTGTCAGGTCAGCTCCTGGCGTCGGCCGGCCAGGGCCCTGTCAGGTGGCCTCCCTCCCACTGCCCCGCGTCGGGCACCGTCCCATGGCCGGGGGTGGGGGTGGGGGTGGGGAGAGACGTGCCACAACGCAACCTTCCTGGGGCCTCGGGAGAATGAGGCCCCGACGAGAAGCACACTGGGGGAGCAAGGAAAAGAAAGGACGGAGCCCCGCTGGGTCCCCAACAGTCCCCGCCCCGTGCGTGGGATGCTGACACTGGGGCCCGCGGGCAGCAGCCTCCGGCCTGGGAGTCAGACAGGAGGGCGGAGGTCACCCTCCGGGGAGGGCCACGGCCCCGTCTCCCCACTGTGTGCAGGGGTCCCCCGCCGAGGGGCCTGTGGGTTCCCGCACGCCCCGGCGGGGCCGCCCCTCTTCCTTGCACCCCAGGCTCCCCGCACTGTGGGAGCCGGTGGCTCACACCTGCGTCCCACAGGCCTCGCGCTCTGGGGCGCGTGGGGTGCCCCGCGGCTGTGGCAGTGTCCCCACACGTCCCCGGTCCTGTGACCCGCCGCCGCTGCTGTAACCTGTTGCGCCACACTCGCTCCCTCCTCGCTGGGCCTCGAGGCCTGCGGGCCACCTCCTGCCCCAGAATTGGTGAGAATAAATATTCAAGGGATGGCAGCGGTGACCCACTTATTAGCAGATGCCACAGCCCCAGGGCACAGCGGCTGAAGCTGGAAGAACAGAGAGAAGCAGCAGGGGAAGGGGAGGGCCGTGTCCTTGGGAAGACGCGCTCACTCCGAGGCTACCCGAGCCAGCGGAAGTCGGCTTGGCCGCAGCGGCAGGCACATAGCACGTCAACGGGCCGGCGAGGGGCAGACGAGCATGGGGCCGGCGCATCCCGGGCACCGTCCCCTAACTCAGCAGGCTCCCGCCGCCCCAACATGTCGTGGTACAGGGCACGAGCACGGGGCTGCTGGCCGCAGGAGCTGGGGGCCCTCTCCTGCCTCTGCTCTGGGATCCTGGGGCAGCTGGTCTCCAGCTTTTCGTTTTCTCTGCTATAGACGAGGCCGTGTCCACCGCCACGTGGCCGGGAACGTGGACGTAACTGGTGGCAGGTGAAAGGCATGCCAGGACACCAGAGGGGCCGGGAGCTCACGTGGCTCTGTGGGGGAGAGGGGGTGCACCGCTCCCCACCCCACCCCACCCCATGAGCTGCTTTAGGAAGAAACTTGGGAGCATTACGCGAGGCTGAGCCATGCGGAGCCAGAAGCCGGGCTTCTCGGCAGGGAGGGAACTGGACCCTGGCTGCAGGACAGGGAGGGTCTGTCCGTCGTTGACTGAACCTGAACCTCGGGTCGAGCTAGTTCTCTAGAGGAGTCCCCGCTTTCAAGGGGGTGTCCAGGGGGACCTGGGGGAATGCTCCTCTGCCTGGCAAAGGTCAGCAGGTCACTCGCTGGACAGTGGCACCTAGCGGGCCACCGACGCCCTGGAGGCGGTGCGCTCGCAAGGTGGCAGGCAAGGGGACCCCGTCCTGTCCCAGGCGGCTCGGAGGCCCTGGCCAGCACCGCCAGCCTGCAGCCCGGCCTCCTGCCAGGGAGCGCACCACTCTGCCACTCGGGCTCGGTGGGCTGGCCGTGCCCAGCGGCATCTGTCCCCTGCAAGCGTGGATGCCGCCCCGTGAATGGTGAGGAGCTCTCACGACCTGTGGGGTCCCATGGCCTCGGGTTGCCTCTGACACTCTCGAGGAGGAAGTGACAAGGACAGGGCCCAGGCCCCAGTGACAGGCTGGGAAGTGCTGCTGGGGGGTGGTCGTGCCCCAGACCCCACCATGCGCGGGACAGGCAGGTGCTGGACTGCGCTCACTGCTGGGCCCAGCGGCCCCCAACCTCCGCCCGGAGAGAAGGAGGTGCTGAATTCTGACTCTCTCGCCCAGGCCGGAGCATGTGGGCAGCAAGACTCCCAGATACCCTCAGCCTGGCAAGGTCACGGTTTGCACGAGTTGGGCCATCGCACACGGTTCCATCTGACCCTTCTGAGGAGAAGGGCAGGACAGGTCCTGAGAAGCCAAGGCCTGCGGAGCACCGGTCCTGAGGTTAATTCTCAAGGCCCCTCCTCGCAGGCCCCAGGCCTGCTGGGATGCCCAGGGCGAGCGCATGACCTGGGGCCTGCCCCAGAGCGCTGGCCTTGCTCCTCAGGGAGGAGAGGGGGACACTGAGTCATCAGCAGCGCCAGGATGTGAAGGGAGGTCGCGGGAGCAGAAGCAGGGGCAGGAATTTTCCACTGGGTAAGGTCAAGGGCTCTGGGAGGCGACCAGGAGCTCTGGGGGAGGAAGCTCCCTTCTCGCCGGCAATCACGATGCCACACACAGGCCGGCCTCTGGAGAGAGCTAATATCCCCAATATTCTCATTCCTTGTGTGCACCTCAATAGCATTCCCGGGAAGACACAGCAGAGCTCCCTTCCAGAGACTTTCTGAAAATGAAGCCGCCAAATCAAAGCCTGTTCCTTTGTCCCCTAGAACATACTGCCCCGGAATAGCAATGAGAAGTGGTCACCATGAGGCCTGTCAGACACGCTCGCGGGCGGGCCTGGCTCACCTGAGACAGGGAGGCAAGGCGCTTCAACCGCCCAGCTCTCTGCCGGGTCCCACAAGTGTGGGCAGAACACACAGGAACAGCCGGCAGAAAGAGGCACACTGGAAATGTCCAGAAGGGGTAGACCACCACCTGAATGCAGACGACGGGGCCACGAGGCCCCGCCACCCCGTGAGGTGAGGCGGCCACGTGCCAGCGTGGACAGGAGCGCCACAGGCCAGACGGGAGGGGGCGGTGCCTGCCTCGCCCGCAGCAGAGCTCCGGACGCAGGGGGAGCCCACAGCAGACAAATCCCCGGCTCACTGATGCGGGGGGCCTCGAGCTCCCAGAGGCGCTGGGGTGCAGTCGCCCAGCCCGGGCGCCACAGGCAAAGTTGTAGAATAGCCACTGAGGCGTGGAGTCCACCTGCCTGGCTCTGCCAGCCCGAGGGCACCTGGGAGCTGAGACGCTCCCCGGGAAGCCAAAGCCCTGGGCGGTGGTGGGGAGGGAGCTTGGGGCCCGGCGGGGCAAGGTGGGGTGTCAGATAACCAGGGGAAACGGGGGTTCTGCTCACCCCTCCCTCTGCAGCTTCGGCGGCCCGGCGGCAATTAGTTTTATGTTATAAGAGCAATATCTGGCAGATGAAGGCAGTAAGTAATGCCCGTCTGCTTTCCTGAAGGCTCCTGTTCGCTCAGAGAGCTATTGAGCTGGAGGCCGGGAGGCTGCCATCATGCGGCGGGTTCACAGGAATAAGTGAAGGAACAATTTACTAAGGCAATAATCATGCCCCTAAATAACTGACTAGCCAATGGCAGCGGCCGGGACGCGCAGAGCTCAGAACCCTCTTGCTGGTGGCAGGGGCGTGTGCCAGGGGCACTCCACACAGACCCGCAGCCGCCCCAGGAAAGGCCACCTCGGGGCTCCGCTGCTGTCCCTGGCCTGGCCGTCTCCCGTGTCGGCGCTGAGCCTCTGACCCGTCCCCCAGCTTCGCCTCCTGCCGCGTCCGGCTCGAGACCCCGGTGGGCCTGCACTAGTCCTTTAGCTAACCCTGTACGTCACGGCTTTGTAGGAAGGGGGCCACCCGGCAGGCCATCCCGGCCGCCCAGCTAAGTTACTCGCCCACCGCCAAGGCTGGCGTGGGGGACAATGCCAGGAAGCAACCTGCGCCCCACTGGGGCAAGGCCACCGTTCCACGCCAGACGAAAGCTGAGCCACGGCTGAACGTACCACAGAAAACAGACCAACCAGAGTCCCCGCGAGAGAACAGATCCCTCCCCCCGCCCCCGCGTGGGCCTGGCCCTCGGCCGGACGGGACGGCAGGATGGCGAGAGCAAAGGCCGGCTTCGGGCCCTGGGGGTCACCGGTTCAGACCCAGGCGACCCGGCTGGCCTCAGGAAGGGGTAGTTACGTCGAGAGGCCACCTTCCCCGAGGCCGGCTTCCCCGCCCGCCTCCCCGCCCCCGGCCGCTGAGTGGCCACGTGTCGCACTGTACCGCCTAGCACACCTAAATCTGTGTCAGGGCTGAGGAGGACCAAGAGGAAGCAGAGTATTAATAGACACGGCAAAGGGGGAGAGAAACACTCTGCGTCCTGCCCGCAAAGCAGCAGAGATGAATAGCCGCCGCGGGTCTTCTGTCTTACCACCCGAGACCTGTCGGCGGGCGCGCTGTGCGGCTGGACTCCCCCGCCCTGGCACCAGGCAATCCGGACGAGCCTGGATCCATCCTCCTCCCGGGCCGCGGGAGGGGGGCCGGACAGCGAGGCCGGGCGGCCCGGGGCTCCGGGAGCCGTGCGCCGCAGGGCCGTCCCTGCCCAGGCGAGGGCCGCTCTCCCCACCTGCTCCTGGGCGGGCCGGGGACAGGCCGCACAGGGAGGTCTCCAGCAAGGGCCCCGGGTGCTCTGAGCGCTCTGCCAGGCAGCCCGAGCCCCGAGCTGAGTCTGCAGGCGGCCCGGCCCTGAGCGGGCAGCGCCACCGCCGGCCGCATCCGCGGGCACTGAGGCCCGCTTGCCGGGCCGCGTGGGCCTGAGTCCTGGAGACCCTTGCTTCGCCCGGGACCAAGCCTGGCACGAGCCAGGGTGTGGGGCTGGGGAAGGAATCGAGGTGACCAGGCCGGGCCGGATGCGGTGCTGGGGAGGGCGAGGCCACGGCCCACTCCCCAGGCGGACGCGGCCACGCTCACTCACCAGGTAGATGCGGTAGGCGTCCACGCGGCGCAGGGGGCCCCAGCACTGGTCCGTGTCGTTGTACTTGACGTCGGCCTCCACCCCACAGGAGTCGTTGCCGCCGGCGCTGCTGATGAAGCAACAGCCGCTCAGGGCCCGGCCGACGCAGCCGGCAGGCGACGCCGTTCATACCCAGTGACCTTGAGCCCTCTGCTGGGCAGCTCTTCGGGCCCAATGGTCAGATGCTTCCCGAACCCCCTTCCCGGCGCCAGTTCCCAAGTTCCCAGGGAGGCAGGAGCCCTGCTGGGAGCCCAGGTCCCACCCCTCCCCCACCCCGCCTGGAGCAGACGGCCGCACCCTGCGACCCTGCCAGTGAGTCTCCTGGGGACACCCAGAGGCCCCAGCACCGCCTCCCCTCCCCCAGCCTGCTGCCTGGCCTGAGCTTCTGCCGCGCTCTGCCCAGCAAGGCGTGGCCAGCGTGGGGGCACTCACCAGGTCACCTGCATGAGGGAGAAGGGCACGGCGGCCGCGTAGATGGCCAGGTCCCCGTACAGGTAGGTGATGATGCAGAAGTAGAACAAGTTCACCCCCACTGTGAAGAACAGAGGCGGGGTCAGGGGTCAGGATCAGGGAGGGGAGTCTGCTTTCTTCTTGACTAAACCTATACCCTGTCCACAGCCCTCAGCTGTCCAAGATGTTTACTGTCTCACAAAAGCGAATGCTCTCCCACGTGGTGGGAGACATGGGTTGAGGGATGTTGGGGGTTCAGAGGTTCTGAGGGTCCAGGGTGAGTGTGAGGTGAAGGCTGGCAGGGGAGAGACACTCGGGACAGGTGGCTGGTGGGGAGCAGAGGCCTGGAGCAGGAGCCTGGGCCCCGAGCCAGCCCCGAGCCTCCTTCCCAGGTGGACAAAGGCCCGCTGCTGGGGGCCTGAAAAGCAGGGAGAGACAGCAGGAAAAGGCCGGTGTCTGAGCTGGAGTCACGAGGGAAGAGGGCCCTGATTCCCAAAAACCCAGGGCGCCAGCCTGACATGGCCAGTCACCAGCGGGCAGGGTCCCTGGGGAGGCAGGACGTGGGCAGGGGAGGCAGGTGCGGAAGCCCCTCTGGGGCTGCCCTGGGTCCTGCCCCTCACCAAACGGGGCGCTGGGTGCGCAGGCTGCGGCCCTGACCCCACGGGCCCCTGAAGCACCCCCGCCCCACGAGAGGACCTTTAATTCCAGATGTGACTCCAGCTGGGCCCTACAACCACAGGTCACGGCCCTAGACAGCCAGTCTCAAGTTCTGGTTCAGTCTGAGGGCTCGTTTTTGATGTCACCAGTCTCAAGCTGCTGGAGACTCCAAGAACAGAAAGAAAAATGAAGTGACAGTTCTCTTCTAATCCTGGTGGCTCAGAAGTCTCCAGGGTCCCCAGGGAAGCTGGGACATGTCCGTCCCGGGCTATTTGAGGTCGGCCCTGCTCCTAGGAGATGGGGGGTTGGGGCGGGAGACTAGGAAGCCAGGGGCACACCACGAGCCTCGCTGGCTGAGTTGGGGTCCGGGGCCGGCCTGCCTGTGGCCCAGCTGCCTCTGCTCTGCAGGGAAGCGCGGGCCCTCCCCACCCCGCCCAGTCTCTCCCCCACCTGCCCCGTGTCAGCTCTGCTGATAAACTGCCACTGGCCCACCTGATCAATAAATTTCATTATCAGACACAAACGGGAGGATCAATGAGCATCCCGAGAAGGCAGCAGTGACTCGGCCTGGCGTTGCTAATTACAAGAAGTGAATCTGGACCCCAGGAAGCCTTCTGCAGAGGGAGGCAGCCCTTTCAAAGCGAAGACGACAATCTGGGACTCAGGAATAGAGCAGAGCGATGGTTTCCAACAGGGTGACATCGCCCCCCTACGGGGGAGAGTGGCAGTGTCTGAGGGCGCTTTTGATCGTTGTGACCGGGAGGTGCTGTGAGGGCTAGCAGGAGGCCAGCATTCTACAGCACCCCCCGGCCCCCACGGACAGTGCCGGGCTTGAGAACCCCGAAGCAACAGCACCCCCCACCCCAGACCCCCACGGGCAGTGCCGGGCTTGAGAACCCCCCGAGCAGCTGAAAATGAGCTGTGCTCATTTTCTGTGAAACTGGGTAAACTAGGAGTGCAGTCTGGGTGGTTGGGTGGGGGGAGGGACAAGACACAAGAACTAGCTTCCAGAGAAAATTAGAAAGGAGGCTGAAAACGCCCATGTCCTCCCTCCGACATGCATTTTATTTCAAAAGCTTGCATTTGGAAGGAGGCGCTCGCACTGCCAGGAAGAAACGTTCATGGCCCTCTTATCCTGTCCAGCAAGATGGGGAGAGAGAGATGAACAAAGACCACACAGAAGATACCGCAGCCTGGCTTTCATGGACTCTGGAGGCGCGCTGGCAGGCTGGCCCGGCGGGGAGGACGGGGCCAGGTCCTTGGGCAACCTCTGGCCGATGACCACCTGTCCTTTCAGACAGGACAGTCACACCACACTGCTAGTGAGAGCCTGAGAGCACTCGGGAAGATTCCAGACTCCTCAATGCATCCTGGCTCCAAGCCGAGGCAGCCACACTCGAGCAGTGGAGACCCCTCCCCTCTGTAAACAGGGCTGCCAGGGACCCAGGGGGTCCCCAGAGAACTGCACGGGGCGGGGGCTGCTGGGGTGTGCCTGGCTCCCTGAAGGGGGCGGCGACCGCTTGGCACCAAAGGAAAACCGCAGACAGCTGGTCTAGAAAAGAGCCCTGCGGTGGAGTGTAAGGTGCGCTGGCCGCTGCTGCTGGACCCTCGCGGGGGGGCCCATTCTCGAGCAGGCAGAGGCAGCAGGCACCAGTGTGTGGGCTCCTGGCGCCCTCTGCCGGCTTCTGGCAAGATCCACCCAGGCGGCAGCGCGGCTCTGCCCACCGCCAGGTGGCTGACAGGGTCGTCCGGGACAGAACAGCCCAGAACCTGCAAACCCGGACGAGTCAGAAGCGAGCAGGCAAGAGGCACACAGCCGCAGCCGGCCTCCAGGGCCCCCCGTGGCCCCCGCAGTAGGAGCTGAGGAGCAGGAGCTGTGGCTTTATCTGGCTGACGGAGGTCGGTCCCAGGCAACAGGAGGCAGTTCAGGCCTCTCAGCGGGCAGCTGCCCAAAGGCCCTGGGCCCCGCGGCCCGTGGCTCCACCCGCCAGTCAAGGTGCACACCTCCTTCGGGGTGCCCAGGTCTGCAGAGAGCGCCAGCTGGCTGACCCTTCCCCTCAGCCCCTGGGAGGCAGAACTTTACCTTTATTGAAAAAGACGGAGGCCATCTGTCCCATCTCCACCCGGTCCGTGATTTCAAACAGGTTCTGGGAGCCCCGTCTCTCTGTGGAGCCAGAAGGACAAGAGTGGACCTTGCACGTGAAAAACTCCTACAGGGTGCTAAGCTCACAGCATTCTCTGGAAGAACGAAATCCCCATGGGCTTCAAACTCTTGGGAGAACTTCAGGTTTCCTGCTTGAGACATTTAAGGGCAGCGTATGGGGAGGGCCCCCGGGTGCCCGCCCCGCGTTGGGGTGCACGCGGGGTCACTAGGAGCTGGCTGAGCAGATCAGCGGGGAGCACCAGAGTGAGTGTGTGTGCTGGGGGGAGCGGAATGGGTGGAAGGGAGACGCCAGAGAGCCCAGCCGTCCGCCGCCTTCTGGCCCGCGACTAGACACTGCTACTGCAAGACGCTGTGTGGTCGGGGGTGTGCTGGACCGGGGGTGCAGCCCGAGCTTCCTGCTCTCTGGACTCCAACAGGCGCCTTCCGCGGACCCAGCTCTCGGCAGGGAAAGCTACCAGGCAGTGCCGGGGGCGCCAGGGCCTGCTGGGCGGACCCGTGGGCAGCGCGGGCCGCCCGGAACCCCAGGACTTACGCACTGACAGGATGGGCCGCTTCTCTGCCCGTTCATAGCTGTCCTGCATGAGAGCGTCACTGTCGGAGGCAGAGGAGGAGTCATCATCATCCTCCTCCTGGGGGGAGGGCGGGAGGAGAGAACACGTGAGAAAGAAGGAGTCGTAGTAATGGCTGACCGCTCCCCGGCAAAGGAGGTGGGCTTCCTCTGCTGTTTCCCGTTAGAGGGCATCTGACTAGGACGCTCCGGACACTTCCCCGCGGTCACGCTGGGGCCCAGACACACTCGAGTCGGGCCTGGAGCTGCAGTACCGCCCGCCCGGGGCTGGAGGGTGCAGGGTGACTGAGCGGCTCAAGGTGGGGGAGGAGGGCCAGGACAGGACGTTGCCGGGCAAGGCTGCCTTTGTTCTGTGAGCTGCAGGGCCAGGCTGGGGGGCCGGCAGCGCCATGGCTGAGGCCCTCCCTGCCCCGGAGGGCCAGCACAGGCGGCTAGGGGCAGGCAGAGGCCCCGCCCGGGGCCAGGGCAGCACACGCACCTGCCGGTTTTCCATCCTCTTCCAGTGGAGCTGTGCGTTGGCCGCCGCCATGGCCTCCATCACAAAGGTCGTGGTGACGAAGCTGCGTCCGGGGGGCGGGAGGCGGGGGCAGAGGCAGAGAAGAGCCGTTTTAAGACCCGACCAGACCCAACACGCCCAAAGTGCTATTTTTCTGAGGGCTGTTCCCCAGGGAACTTTCAAGATGGAGCTGGCCTGATAAAAAGGTGTGCTCCTACGGGACCCCTGGCCAGTCGCCTCGATGCCATGCTACATTTAGAATGTATTTCCGATTGACGGAGAGGAGGCACGAAGTGAGCTGACGGGAGGGCAGGAGAGAGGGGCTGGGCGAGGAGACCTGGGCCGGGCCGGGCAGGGCGAGGGGGCCGCGGGGGCCTGCGTGGGGCGCAGGGCTGGGCGGGAGTCGGGAAGGAGAGGCCGATTCATGAGGGGTCTCCGCAAGGCTTCCGGGAAGGACAGCGGCAGCCCTCGCCTCTCCCCGTGGGGACACAGAGGAGCGGTCACCTCCCGGCCACGCGCGGTGAGGGCGGGCGCGCAGGCGAGCGTGACTGAAAAGAGCACTTGGCTCCAGCGTCGGCCACTTGTCCCCCGATCCCTGTGGCAGCACCTTGCGTCCTGCTGTCCTGGCCGGTAGTAACATGAGCGCATGTATTTGCGGCCTGGAGCGAGAGGGAGCTTGGGAGCTGCCGTGAGACATTCGCTGCGAAGAGTGAAAAGCCGTCTTTTCTTTCTCTGTACATTTTAAAAGGGCAGGTCTACTCGGAACAGGAGAAACAGAGCACCTATACAGTCACAGGCGGGCAGGAAAAGCCTTTCTTAAGGCGGCTGGAGCTCCCCGCCCCGGTGGCTCCGGGCACCAGAAGACACGAAGCAGCCGCCTGCCAGATCCCAACGCCCAGAACCAGCACCTCCGCTGACCCTCTTGGGGCCCAGGGTCATCTCCCTGCCCCGCGGCACCAGCCCTGCGCCCCATCACGGCTGCCACCTGCCGCTGCACTGCCCAGCCCACCGCCGGAGGGCCGGGAGCCGGGCATCCGCTGTGTCGGGTGGCGGCCAGCGCTGAAAGCCCGCTCCAGGCCCCGCCCACGAGCAGGGTTCTCATTATCCTGCCTAAGTGGCCACTTGAAGGGCCTCTGATTTCCCCTTCTCTGGCAAAGTAAAGCCGGAATCCATCTTAATTACGGCACAGACAGATTTCTCACGGTCGCAGGAGGCGGCTCATTGATCATGTTCAAATGTAAATGGGTTCAGCGGGGAGCGGGCACAGCACCCGCCCGGGCTCCAGTCGGCACTGCCCACTCGGATGGCTGCGCCGCTGGAGGTCCTTTCAAGGGGACAGCAGGGCCCACGGGACAAGGGCTGCCAGGGCGCTTGGCTGCCAGGGCCCGCAGCAGGTAAAGAGCCAATGGCACCCCAAGGTTGGCCACAAGACCCCCAAAGGAAAATGCGTAACAAACCAGGACGCTCAGTTCTCCTGTCCCGTCCAGCGTGCCGAGGTGCTCATTCGCCTCAGCTACAGCTTCTCTCCTCCCTAGTGTCCACTCCTGCCCCCTCTGCTATTGTGCTGCCCACTAACGGCCAGCTGCCCAGCAGCACAGCTTCACAGGCCCTTTGCCCAGCCAGACTGCATGCCCCCCCATACAACTCGCCCCTAGCGTCACGACACTCACCTGCTTCTTCCCTTCACTACTCATCACCCCACAGGGAAAGTCTCTGAGGGCAGAGCGCTTGGGTTTGCCTCGTGGGGCACCCCACGCATGTGGGGACAGAGCCTGGGCTGCTCGCAGGAGGGCCCCGCTTCCTTATGGCAGTTAGGGGGTTCCCACCTGGTTGACGGGGCTGGACATGCCCAGGCCTGAGTCCCGGCTTAGCCTGGGCTGCTGAGAGGCTGCTGGAGACTCAGACGTGCGGGTGGCCAGGCGGGGCACCATACCTGCCCCAGGAGACGAAAGCCCTGGGGAGTGTGTGGTGCCGGGGGAGGCTGAGCCCCCGACTGCTGCCGGGCAATAGCCAGGATGGAGGACAGTGGCTCAGGAGTGTCCTGTGCGCCGCGGCTACCAGTGGCAGCACCTTAAATGCGTGTGGGGTGCTCTGATGAAGAGGGTGGCCTCCCCGTGAACACAGGGCTGGCAAGGAAAAGGGGACCGAGGTGAGGGCCAGACGGGGCTTAACGAGGACTTGACTGCGGTGTGCTCTCTGCCCGCACGAGTCAAACTACACAGTGGACCACACGACGGTACTCAGGTGAAGAAAAAGATGGCAGCGACGTTTAAAAAAAGCACAATGACGCGGACAGGGACGGAAGGGGGTAGACCTGGTGGGAAGGGCACAGAGCACCCCAGCACCCCCGCCCAAGGGCCTGTCTTCACCGCGCCGGGTGTAGCTGCCCCACCGGGGCGAGCCCCGAGGCCCCCAGCACCATCACAGCAGACCCTGCTCCGGCCCGGCCCTCCCCATCCGAACGCGCCTGCGTGGCTTCTTGCCCGCCCGCCGCCGCTCACCTCATGAAGCCCAGGAACACCAGCAGGCCCAGGCTGACCAGCCACCCGGCGCTGGCGAAGGCCTTGGGCATGGTGAGAGCGCCGGTGCCCACGATGAGGTTGAACATGTACACCAGCCCCACCTGCAAGCAACGGGAGCTAGTCAGGCCAGCAACGCGCTGCCCCCCCCCCCCCCACGGGGGCAGAGGGCCAGCGTGGGCCGGGGGCAGGAGGGCGGGAGGCTTCCTGGGAGCTGGAAGGGGCAGGCTCTGCTGCCCGCGTGCCAGCTCACCGCGCAACCAGGCGGCAGCCTCCTGAGGCCAGACCGTCGTTTCTGGGCGCCCGGCACAGGCTGGACCCCGGGCAAGACCGACACGCATGGCACAGTCCTTGTCTCCACCCGGTCTTGGCACGGTCCTTCAGGGCAGGACACCCACGCCGGCCTCCCCCCACACACACTAATTTTAGGGATTTGGAAAAAGACACAACTCACACGCCACAAATCGCCCTTTCCAGGCACACAGCTCTACACTCTTGGTGTAGTCTTACGGGTGTGCAAACAGCACCACCTCAAATTCCACTCCATCATCCCCAAATTTAAGCCCACCTCCACCTCATCCCTCGCCCGAGGGCCTGTCAACCGATCTCGGGATGGACGCTGGCCGCGGCCTGCAGAGGGAACTAGAACTCACGCCAGCTGGGCCCTGGCTCAGCCCATCACAGTTGTTCCTTTTCAAGATCTTGACCACAGCACTCCGTGGTGGTGCGGTGCTCTCCGGAACCCTCTCCACTCTCACTGAACTTTGTCTTCATCATGACACCGGTCTCCAGACCACCTGCTCCACTGTGGCCCTGCTCCCCGCTCCCCTGATTTACATCCAGCGGGCTCCCCCGGGCACCAGGCGCCCCTGGCTGCCTGCCTCCTGGCTCTGCCCTTCTGGATCCCTGGCCTTATCCCACCCAGCGGCTGCCTTCACTCGCCAGCACAGCTGTGTAAAGGCCCCGTGGCTGTTTTTTATTTAGATTTATTTTTATTTATGCATACAAAGAGCTGGGGTGCAGGCCAGAGGTGCTGGGAGTGGGGTGGGAGGATTCACCAGAGACAAGAACAGGGGGATCTACGGAAATGCACTGCTGAGGGGAGCAGCGGGGAGACAGGAGGGCTCTGCTGTGCCCTGTGGTCACTCCCTGGCCGGGGACTGAATGCGCGCTGCAGGGGCTGCGGACAGCTTCACAGTGCCCTGACTTAACCGCCACCAGGGCTGTTTTTGAATTACGGCTGATCCCTCCACAGAACAGTCCCTTGCCCGAGGCCGGCCAGCACCAGACCAGCAGGGCACTACTTCCCGGCACTCGGGGTGACTGCGTTGAGCCTCATTCTCCAGGCCCCTGCCCTGTGCCCCCAACTCTCCCGTGAAGACTGAAGTTCCCGTGGTGGGGGTGGCAGGGGTTCTGACGCGTGCTCCCCGCGCCTCACACCACCCCCAGCCTCAGGGTGAGCCAGCCCCGGCTGCGGGCTGAGTTCTCCCTGGCCGGGTGCCCCCTCTCCCCTGCACATGGCCACCCCCCGGCCTCTGCAGGGCGCTCACAGAAGCCGCAACCCTGCGCGTGGGGCTGTCTGCGCCACTCTTGAAACTTCACTCTTAAAACGCCGCCAAAGCCGATGCCTCCGGGGTCTTCATCCCCCTCACCCCCAGGACTGCAACTGCCCCGGCCCCTCCTCAGCGAGCAGCCGGCCCTTGGCTGTCTCGGGAGGGGCAGAGGCGGACAGGGTGGCTCAGGGGCAGCCGTTGGCAGACGGCAGCCCCAGCCACCGCCCACCGCCGTGGCCCGGGCACACCCCGGCGGCCTCGGCGCTTCCCCGAGCCGGTGAGCCGCCCGGCGCGTCGCCCTGAGCTGCTCTGCGGTGGCCTCCGCTCACTCGCGCACGGTCTGAACCGTTTCCGGCCCATGCGGGCAGTGAGCAGCGGGTCTCAGAGTGGCCGGCAGCGGCCCCTGGCCTCGACCTGGCCGCTGCTGGCCCGGCGGTCGTCCAGTGTGCTTTACCACCTGCTTCTGGTCGTGAAAAAAAACAAACGGCTTTGTCTTTGGGAAGACCGGCCCCTCTCTCGGTCTGCTTTTCCCCATTTTTTAACACCTGCAGGCCCTCGACTCATGTTTTGTTCCAGAGTTGAGGAAAGAACCGGCCCAGCCACGGCAAGCCAGCCCCGCTCTCGCCCGTGCTTTCTCTTCAAGGCGAGGCCCGTCCACAGGTGGGAGGCCTCTGGGTAGCTTCAACTTCTAAGATAAGCACCTGCTGAATACTTTTATCCGAAACACAGGTTGCATGTTATTTGCCTGACCTCTGCCAGATTTTTCTTCTTCAAGTAGGGACAGGGGGTGTCAGCGGCCTTCCTGGGCCCAGCATTCAGCGTCCATTCCAAGCCCTTGCACACCAGCTCACACCCCACTTTTGATTCCGAGGGCGATCTGGCTCTGGGCCGTCCCTGCGCTTCTGGGCAGCCCGCCATCGCCGGGGCCTGTCCGTGCGCTAGGAGCCAGCGGCAGCCTGGCCTCTGCCCGTGACATTCTAGTACTTTCCCCCCCTGAGATGATCAAAAATGTTGCCAGCTAGTGCTGAGGGTCCCTGGGGGCGAGTCTGCCCCCATGAAATAAGTGCACTCCCAAGAGAAATTTCGAATAAACCTCAGTGAAAAAGAACTTTACAAAGACCCTAATGAGAGAGAAACAGTGGCAGTTAGTAGCAGATGCGGCAGCCACATCTTTCAAAGCCAGGACCCTGCGGCTGGCGGGCCCCGGTAACACTTCTCCGCTTCCTGGCAAGAGCAGAGGGTGCCCCGTGAGGCCCCGTGGCGAGGGGGCGCTGAGCAGGAGTGGTGTGAGCTGAGCGGCACCTGGGTCAGGCAGCGGCGGGGCAGCAGGAAGAGGAAGCAGGCGGCCTCTCCTGCCACTTAGGCAGTCTGCAGGGACAGCCCGTGAGACGTGGCTGATCCCCGGGGCACAGCCCAGCCGCGGTCTCCGCTGAGAAGGCGACTGTAGACGCCACCCAGCGTCATCCCCGTCGGGGCCGCCCTCCTCGGCTGGGCGGGCAGCGTCCCTCCTCTGGGAAGGCCGCTGGCCGCAGGGCTCCGGGAGCCCGGCTGGCTCACTGCAAACGTGCAGCGCGGCTGTCTGAGCGGCTCGTCCTCTGACGTTATCAAAGGAAACAGAGGCAGCAGAGATGTGGAAACAGCAGCTAAGACTCGGCTGTGCAAGCAGAGCTCCTTCCTTTAGGGCAACGGTCCGGGTCCACAGCAGGCGGGCGCCAGCAGAGGTGGACCTGGGGCCGCCGGGCCGGTGGGACACGGATGCTTTCGTGGACGGGCGCGTTTGGACCTGAGCCGTGTCCCTGGGTCCTGCACTGTCTTGGAGGGTCTGTCACTTGGGCCCCTGTGGGCTGGACTGCCCATTACCAACGCTTTATGCAGAATAAACAGGACGTTGAAACAAACACCCCTGGCACCCACGGAGGGGAAGAGAGCTGCCGACACGGAGGCACAGGCGCAGGAGACGCCCTCGTGGGAACAGCGTTCTGGGCCCATCCACGAACTAAGCAGGCCTAGTGTCCAGGCCTCCCGAGGCGGCCAGGGCAGGCCTGTCCACGACCCGCGGCGCGGGGCCCCAAGGGGAGCGGGCAGAGCAGCTGCAGCAGAAATCATTCCTGTGCCGGCGGATGAACTTTGCACCTTTGTCCTGGCCTTGTGGGGGCCCAAGGACCATGCCCTGGGGATAACGAGAGATGGTGCGTTCTCTCCTCGAATCCTGCCCCCCACCCAGGAGACGCTGCCTCATCCTCACCCGACCCACCTCCTCCCGCCATCTCAGAGAGAGAGCGCACCACGCATTCGGGACACAGGGCGGAGGGGGCCCTCAACCACAGCTCTCAGAAAAACAACACGCGCTGGAGTGAAACCCAGAGTCTGCCCAGGTGCTGAGGCTTCATTTCCCACAGGCACAAGCTGACACGTGAAACCACCACCTGAACGATGAGGAACAAGAACACGGTGTGTGATGCTTTCGATTCCCGGACCCTGCCAGAGCAAGGACCCCGAGTTCGCAGGTGTTATGAGAAGCAGCAGGTGCCCTGGGGACTCTGATGGACAGTGTGGTCATCTGGTTGCTGGTGCCAAGAGGAGGCAGAGGCTGTTACACTCCCTCAGCAGAGGTCCTGCCCCGCTGGGTGGCCCTCCGGGCGGCTCCTTTGCCACACACAATGCTAGACCGGCAGGCGGTGAGGAGGGCTTTTTCCAGCCGCTCCTGACCCTCACATCCCAGCCGGTGAAGCTAGCAGAAACCAGAGCAAAGATCCCTCGGCCAGGAAGGTAGGTGCAGTGCGGGCAGCTCTTCAAGAACAGCAAGTTCTAGGCCCCTCTGGTGGTGCAAGAGGCTAAGTGTCAGCACTGCGAAGCTATTGGCAGCCACTGCGGCACGAGTTTGATCCCCGCCAGACAGCAGACCCCTCCTGTCTCTCCCGCTGCTCCCCTCAGCAGTGGATTTCAGTCATTCCACCTGTTCTGCTCTCTGCTCTGTCTCTGGTGAGTTCTTTCACCCCCCGCACTTCTGGCCTGCACCCAGCTCTTGTATGCATAAATAAATAAATCTTAAAAAGAGTAGCAAGTTCTAGAAGTTGGACTCTTGCGATGGAAGGCATGCTGCTCTTCCTGGGATACTCGGTGGGAAAGTGAATCAATCACTTGATCATTCCACTCCTCCAGCCAGGCGTGAGGACTCACAGACACAGCCCTGAGCACCCTCCTGTTACCCAGACAAGATAAACTGAGTGTGTGTGTGTGGGGGGGTATACTGCAGGCCGAAGACAGTGCGAAACCAATCTCTCTAATTGTCCTCATTACACACTCCCCAGAACAGCAACTGGAAATCCTTGCAGGCCCTCGCCACTGTTTACATCATCCAAGGCTGTAAAAGTTGTGCAACTTAAATTTCAGCTAAGACCAAAGAGATATCCAACTGCTGAGGTGAGCAGAACCAGCGTCAACAGCTGTCCGTCACTGGCCAGCAAAGAGAGTGTGGCGAGCACGCGGGCAGCCCTGCGATGAGCGTGACAGTTAGCGAGGCGGCCCGTGGTCTGCCATTCTCCGTCAGCACCTCAGACGTGAACTCCTGACTCTGAGCAGGTCTGGGGCCCCGGAAGGCCCCTCGCCCCAGCTTTCACCAGGGTCTCCGCAAACAGCAGGCCCCCATTAGCCACCCTCCACATATGTCCAGCAGGCAGGAGCACTGGTACGGGCAACAGGTTCTAGAAGTCAAACTCACGTAGGGAGAATAGAGCTCCCCGGTGTCTGTGATTTCACCCGCCATTTCCAAAGGTGAGGAAGGGCCGGAGGCTGAGGTTCCTTCTGGTAGGGGCCGGCGGCAGCTGAGGTTCCCTAAGGCACAGAGCAGATACCGACTTTAGGATGGCCCTGGAGTGGGTGGGGGTGGTGCACTGAGAGCACCACCTTTTATCACACCCAGTTTCAGAGTCTGTCACAAGAGGAAGGGGCTCCCGAGGACCCATCAGATGGTTTCCTCTAACTTTTTCCTTGCCGGCTGACGTGCGTACAGGACGTCGTGCGGACTCCAAATGTATTGGGGGTCTGGGAAGTCGCTAAATGTCACCCACCCCCTTTACATCCCCTAAGTGGTTCTCCCCTTTCAACCAGCAGGACTCGCCAGCTTACTGTCACACAGGGCGGCCAGTCACTGCCTCCGCCTAAGCCAAGGCGCTAGGGGCTTTCCCAGCTAGCCCCCAGCCCAACTCCTTGTCCCAAATCTCTTCTTTGAATTGGGACCCCGGGTCCCTGCTCCCCGACCAGCTTTCGGGGCCCCCACCCTCAAGCCTCCCTGTCTTCTCCAGAGCCCCGCTCGGCGCCTCTTCCTCGTTCTACCTTCCTTCTGGAAGAGCCACGAGGGTGGCGTCGCCCCAGCCCGCGCCCCTCCAGCCCGGCCCGTCACCTGCAGCGTAGCAAGGTCCGGGCCACCGCGCCCGCGCCTGCCGCCTCCGGCCCCCGGGCTGCAGCCGGCGCCAGCTGTCCTGCACCAGCGGCCGCAGCACGCATGCGCCCGCGCCGGGAGCCCACCTTTTCCGCGCGCGCCCGGGGCGGAGCGCAGCGCACTGATTGGACCCCGGGGGGGGCGGGGCCAGAATTGGGCCCGCGCGGCTGCCGTCTGCGTGGCGGAAGTGGGCGGGCTGCGCCGCATGCGCTTGCGGAGCTCCGCCACGGTGGTGGGAACGGGGCTGGTTGCAAGAGGTGGATCCTTCTGCTGGTGACGTTTCTGTCGGCGGGGAGTGGGTGTGAATTTGTCCGGTGGGCGGGGGGTGAGATGGGGGTGGCTGGCGTCTAGCGGCCTGTAGCTCCATACCAAAGGGAGAGGGCTGCGAATTTAAGTCGGTCCCCCCCAAGTTGGCTGGGGTGTCTGGCTCGGGGGCAGGGAGGAGGGAGAGCCCAGAACTGTCGGGGTGGCGTCTGGGAAGTGGGGCCGGAGTGGTTTAGGCTGGGCTGACTGTTGGTCCTGGGGCGGAGCCTCTGCCCTGGGCCAGTGATGGGAGCGATGGAGATGACACTTGGCTAGTCTGCGTTTGAGGGGGTCTGCCCTTTGGGAAGTGGGGAGGAAGAGGGAGGCGGAGATTTCTGTCCAGGCCTGGCCCCTGGCCACAGGAGTCCAGCTCAGTTGCCTTCAACCCGCCCGGTTCCCCTTCTTGCCAGGGGATTAGTCTGTGGGTTCTGAAGTGTGTGCAAGGGAAGGATCTAGGTGCTTTGACAACTTAGCTCCAGAGACTGGGCAACTCTTGGCTTCACACTAGGTGTGAAGGGTCCTGAATTCCCCCCCACGCCCTCCGCAGGCTGCTACCATGAGGTTGAATCAGAACATTTTGCTGCTGGGGAAGAAAGTGGTCCTGGTACCCTACACCTCGGAGCATGTGCCTAGGTAACCATTTCCCCCTGGCCTGGGGTGCAAGCCAGCTTCTAAGGCACAGCCAGGAGGTCACCCACCTTAGCCAGGCCTCAGTGACCATTCATCAGAGAAGGTGCAAGAAGTAGTTATGTGCATACTAAAAGGAAAGCAAGAGTATGACTTCCTGGAAGAAGTCACCCATCCATCCATTTCCCTTCCACCCTCTTAACTTCCTTTTTTGGCCAGCTAACAAGAATTACATTATGTCAATTAAGCTGTTTAAAAGAAAAATTGTTTCCCCAGTTGTAAATTAGTGGACACTCCCGCCCTCCCAGTGCTTATGCTTAGTTCTCAGAAGCTTACAGCGATGGGTGGTTCTGATGTCCGCTGTTCTGAAAAGCCGGGACCGAGTCCCAGGGACTCCTGAGGGAGCAGTTGGCAAGCATCCGGCAGAATGGTGTGGTGGGTGTGGGGGTATAGCCTCTACTTGTAGTTTTCCTTTTGGGGGGGTTCTTGGTGCTGGGCCTTTGTGGATCTCTGCCCAACCTTTGCTGAGTTGGTTGGCCCTAAGCTTCCCCTCAGGAATTTGAGGAATGTGTGGTTTCAGACTGCTCCCCCGCACTGACCCCAGACAGGATGGGCAGCTGGGGATGGAACTGCCCCTTCTTTTTCTTGAACATCTCGGCTGCCTCTACAGTCTTGTGCTGGGGACCCTCTGCCTCGGGAGTGATCAGAACCCTTTCTTGGGGTCTGCTACAAGCTCTGCGTTAGCTCTCACAGCCTCTGAGTCAGCCCCACAAGCCGCAGGCCAGCTCTCGGTCCTGCAGGTACCACGAGTGGATGAAGTCGGAGGAGCTGCAGCGTTTGACAGCCTCCGAGCCCCTGACCCTGGAGCAGGAGTACGCAATGCAGCGCAGCTGGCGGGAAGATGTGGACAGTGAGTAGCTGGAATGGTGGTAGTGGTGGGTGGGGGCTGGCTCCTGGGGGTCTCCAGTCTCTTGTCCCCAGTCCCAGCCACAGCTCTCCAGAAAGCTTGTGAAAAGCCTGGAAGGTGCCTGCGGCCCTCCCAGTCACGGAGGCTGTTGCTGTGGTTGACACTTCCACCCTCATCCCGCCCCCACAGCAGGCCTGCAGGGACTTAGGGAAGTAGAGTGTTTGGGGCAGATTGAGGGCTTTGTCACAGGCTGGAGGAAGCCCTGGGCCCCTTTGGCTGCCAGACTCAGACAAGTGTCCCCTTCTTCTCTGAGTGGTAGGAAGACTTCTCACGTCACTTCCTTGGGAGTGTAGGTGGTGACCTCATTGACTCCCCCTCAGAGTGTACCTTCATTGTGCTGGATGCAGACAAGTGGCGGGCACAGCCAGGCCCCCCAGAAGAGAGCTGCATGGCGGGAGACGTGAACCTCTTCCTCACAGACCGAGGGGACCCCACCCTAGGGGAGATCGAGGTCATGATTGCAGGTTTGTTCCACCAGGCCCTCTTTTCTGTGCCCCTTCCCTCCCTCTGGCCCTCAGAGCTGCCGCCGAAACTGAGGCTGCCTGGGCGGCTCAGCACCTGGTGGGCAGGCTGCCTCGAGCTCCCCAGAAGCCTACTGGCTGGCTCATCCCCATCCTCTGCCTAAGCGTGGACTTAGCCCTTAGTTTTAGGGTCTCCCAGTTTGAGTCGTACACGTTCTTGGGGGTGGGCTTGGAACCCTCTAGAAAGAACTTCCTCCCTGGAATGTCTTCCCACATGGGAAGGAGCCCCTCCAGTTTCTGTGTTCTTGGCCCTCAGCCTTCTCCCTCCACTGAGAGGGAGGGGGGGTCAGGTTGCTGGGTGTCTCCAGGCTCCGTGACATGGGAGGAGTCACTGAGCCTCTCTGAGCCTCTGTCCCTTGATCTGCAGAGTGGTCATCACGGCTGCTACAGGCTGCAGAGCCGCGGGGGCTATGTGGGCCTCAGAGCCTGGCCTGAGGCGTCAGGGCACCTTGTCTCTCCTAGAGCCCAGCTGCCGGGGCCGGGGCTTGGGCACCGAGGCCGTGCTCATGATGCTGTCCTACGGTAAGAAGGCCCGAGCAGAACACAGGTGAAGGTGCCGCCGCTGAAACCGGACGGGGGAGGGGTGGGGGGGCTGGGGCTGGGGGTGCAGGCTTTTGGGGGCTCACCTGCGGTTGTTCTTTCTCTGCTTGCTTCTGGGAGGAGTGACCAAGCTCGGTCTGACCACGTTTGAGGCTAAAATCGGGCAAGACAATGAACCGAGCCTCCGGATGTTCCAAAAACTTCACTTTGAACAGGTGGGACTCCTGGGCTGGGGGGTGGAGCCGCAGCACCTGTTTGGCTCCGGGCGCCCACCCTGCTCTCTGGCTCCCCCAGGTGGCCGTGAGCAGCGTCTTCCGGGAGGTGACGCTCAGGCTGACGGTGAGCCAGCCTCAGCGCCAGTGGCTTCTGGAGCAGACCAGCCACGTGCAAGAGCAGCCCTATCGGGGTGGAACCTCAGAGCCCCTCTGACAGCACCTTCCGGGCAGCCACGCGCATCCAGGGTGTCGGGATTCCGAAAGTCTGGAACCTGCAGCAGAGACCATGGTTGGGGCCTTGTGGGCCGAGTGGCCAGGCCCGCTCCAGGCGGGACACCTCTGTTCGGGGCCCTTCAGACTCTGGGCCCGACCTGCCTTGGCCTTCCCGGCTGGCTGCATGCATGCCCGAGCGGCTCCCCAGCCACCCCCCTCTCTGGGCCACCTCCCTGGACTCCGAGCCCAGAGTGAACGGGAGGAGGCAGGGTGGAGGTGGGGCTGAATGGACAGGACCCCCGCCCCCTGGGAGGCTGGAGGCGCTACTCTGGGGCAGAGACCCTGGCTGCAAGTAAAGCGGACCACGCCACACGGCTGGCTCTCCTGGCTTCCTCAGTGGGCCTGAGGGGAGCAGAGCTACCAGGAGGCCCAGCCCCATGGTAAGAATAGGCTGGCAGTGCACGCCGCTGTTGTCCAGCTGAAGCAGGCCGGCTGCGCCCCCCGAGGTTTGGAAAGAGGCAACCTGCCTTTGACAGACAGGCGGCTTGGAAGGTGGGAGTGCCTTGCTCCTTTCACGGGGAGCCAGAGGGAGTCAGGGAGTAAGTCAGCTGGGTACAGCTCCTCCTGTATCCTGGGGGATGCCCCTTTATTTGTGGATCTGCAGCTTCCTGCTAGGGCCTCGCACTTCCCCTGCGAGGACACCTGTGTTCTCCACCTCTGCCTTGGGACAGCTGCACCTGACATGGCCAGGAGGGGGCGCCGGAGGCCAGGTTCTGGGTGGTGGGGTTGCCAGGCAGTGGGTGCTCCAAAGCCAGGTCTGCCCCCCTCCGCCAGGGGGGACCCTTTGACTCCTAGTGGTCCCTCAGCCCCCTCATAATCTGGGGTGTCTGTCAAGAGCGGCCAGGCATGTTGTGGAGGGCCGGTTTGGGGAAGATGCCAGGGTGCGCATGGAGGAAATGGGTCCCAGCTAAGCTGAGGCAACATACCCAAGGCCCGCTGGTAGGCCACAAGGCCAGTACCTGCTGAGGCCTGAGGCCTCAGCCTCCACCCAGTCCCCTCCGCCCTGGCATCTCGCACCAAACCACACATGTGGAAATCTACCATCTGAGACCTAGCTGAACCCAAGACAAAGTTAGTTCGCCTGGTGTGGTGGCCTGGCCCCCTGAGCCATCTGTGGGCCACCTGTCCCCTCCACCCAATCAAAGGTCTGCACCTGTGGCAGGTGAGGGAAGGAGCCACCTTCTGAGATGCCTGCTCCGTCGGGTCAAAGGTCAGGGGTCAAAGGGCAGAGGTCAAAGGGCAGGGGCAGGGTGGGGCTGGGCTGCAATGATAAGGGTTTTGGATGTTCCTCTTTAGCTGATGGAATTCACACACTAACTAGAGGCCAGAGATGGCCACACCTGACTAGCCCTCTCAAGCCCGAGGGCTCCTCTCCCAGGCTTCTTACCTCCCTCCTTGGGTGTTCTCGAGCCTGGCCTCCTTGTTTCCTGGTACAGAGTAGCTGGGGGACAACTTCCCTTCCTGCCCTGGCAGCCCCCAGGATGTGGCTTAGGTGCAAGAGGCTTGGGGCCTGGGTCTGAGGTGGGAACACGTATGTATGCGTCACCCTAGAAAGTGCTGTCCACCTGCCAGCCTGCACAAGTACCCTCCAGTCAGCCCTTGCCTGATAAGCTAGTCTGGCGCCAGCTCCAGCCTCCCCAGGGAATCCTGCACCCACTAGCTGCCTTAGCAGGAATGCTGCCTCGTTGCATTCCAGCTCCACCTGGTGTTAGGGGAACGTCCAGGCCCCAGGCCCCTCTGAGCCCGCGGGCCTCGGCTCCCACCTCCCCTTAAAAGCCTGGAGGCGGAGCTTCTGGTCCTGGCAAGTCCTGCTCCCAAGGGCAGGCTGGCCGGGCCAAGGCATCAGGCCCTGTGGCTGAAGCACGCCCTGCCTCGGCCCAGGCTGGGGTACAGGGAGCCCATCCTTGCCCTGGAGCTAGACCCTGCCCTCAGCCAGAGGCCACTGGGTACCTGTCACCACCCCAGGCCAGCTCTAAAGGAAGACACAGAGGCTGAGGCTTATGGAGAAACCAGTTGAATTTCAGACAGAATTCCTTACAACAGGGTGGCCTGGCTCAGTGAGGGGCAGGCCCCAACACCCTGCTGCCCGGGCCTGACACGGGGGATGGGAGTGGACATGTAAGGAAAGTTTAGGCCAAGACTACTGCTAGGTCCGGGGTGAAGCCACCTGGGGAATCACATTAATCATGGAAATAAAGGTCCCTCTACTGAACACGGTGCTGTCGGCGTGCCTGATGAGCCGGGCCTCCAGGGTCACGGGAAGATGGCCTTGCCCTGGCCCCATCCTTGCGGGCCACGGGTCCCGGTGTGGCCAGGTGGGCTGGCAAGGGGTGACCTGGCAGGCAGGCTGGGCATTCGGTGGTTGGGCAAGACAGAAGATTGGGCAAGACGGAAGGGGGTGCCCTCCACTTCCCCGAGGTGAGGGAACAGCACAGTTCTCTAGAAAAATGATCTGCCAAGAGGAGAGGCTGGTGCTGATTGGTGTCAGTTGGGAGGTCAGTGGGAGCGGGAGGGGGAGAGAGTGGGGGCGGGGCTGGCTGTGCCCTCCAGCCTTCCTGGCAGCGGCAGGAGGGGCGCTCAAAGGTTGCTGAAGAGTTCGTTTTTCTTGCTCCAGTCCATCTGCGGGGCCCGCTTGTTGCTGCGCTTCTGGTGAGCCCTCTCTCTGGCCACGGCCAGTGGGATGTTGAAGTCCAGGATGGGGTCGGAGGAAGTGGAGGTAGACGAGGGCGCTGTGGAGTCCTGTTTCCGGGGGCTGTCTTGGGAGTTGAGCTGTGGAGAGGAGGGGGAGGAAGGTTGAGGGCCTGTGCCCAGCGAGCGCCTGGTCCTCGGCCCCAGTGGTGAGGTGGCTCCTTCGGGGCAGTAGGGAAGCCAGGTCACAAGAACAGAACGTGGCTCGGCATGTGACCTCCGAGCAGGCTGTGGTGCCAGGAACGAGTGTGCCCTGGGAACGGGCTTCCTGTAAGCGGCTGCCAACCCCCGGCCTACCTCCTCACTGGTATCACTGGAGGTGGATCTCGCCAGGGCTGGCCTGGGGCTCTCAGAGGCTGGCTCGGCCAGGGTTTCACGGCTATCCTCCTGGCAGAGAGAGGAGGGTGCAGGTTGATGGGGGCGGGGAAGTCCTGACGAGGCAGGGCGTTCCCAAGAGCGTTCCCAGGAGACAGGTGGCTCGGTCTGGAGAAGTTCCCCGAGCGCCTGCCAGTGCCCGGGGGGTTACATGGTTGCATTTCTCCAGGATCAGTGGGCAGCCGGGTCCCACTGCCACTGGGCGGAGGCGGGGGGGGGGAGTGTCATGGGGTCAGCTGAACAGCTTCCCCAGAGTCCAGTTTTGGGCCAGGGACTGGGGAGGCGCATTCTGGGCTGTGGGGACCTGAGGGGCCTCTAGGCCCGTCAGGGGGCAAGAGTGATGCCCCGGCGTCTCCGGCAGCCCACCTGACTGTTCACTTGAACTTGACTCCAGGAATCTGGAGTGTAAACCCCAAGGCAGCCAAGCGGGGCTTTGAGGGAGTAAGGGGATGAGAATTCTAGACCCACCGGTGGAGGGAGGGGAGGTTCAGGCCCGGAGTCCTGGTGCTGACCGTGACCTCCCAGCCTGAGCCCCTGGGCAAGGAACCCTGAAGGTAGACCGGCACGGGCCCCGCCCTGAGGTTCGTCTCCCGCGACCCGACCCAGAGTGAAGCTTTGGCCAGGACTGATGGGCCCAGCTGCTGCTGGGCTCCTCCTGGCCTCGGCTGGCGTGGGGCCCGGCGTCTTCCCGGGCTCCACCGCTCTCCCTCTGCCGGGGAGCGGGGGGAGGGGCTTTGTTCTTCCAACCCAGACTGGAAGTAGCAGGGCCAGGCAGTGCGGCCAGACACTGAAGCTCTGTTCTTGGGGGGAAGAAAGGCCTCTTCTGTATGGTGGGGAGCTGCAGGCGGGGTCTGTCACCCAGGACGGTGGGCTGCAGAGCGGCCGGGCGGGCCTCTCCCAATGGCCTTGGGCAGGGGCCAAGGGGTACCCAGGCCGCCCGGAGCTCAGGAAGGCAACCCCAAGGTTGCAACCTGGGCAGATGACAGGCCTCCCCGCCAGGGCACCTCCCCAGCTTCTCCCCAGCCGCGACCCAACGCCAAGGGGGGCAGGTGGGGCGTCTGACTTTACCTTCTGGATCTCCCCGTTGGTGAAGGGCTCTGGCAGGGGACCTAGGGAGGAGACAGAGGGGAGTTAAGAGGCTCCGGGGAGGCCGGGGCAGTGTGGTCTACACGGAGTGGGAGTTGGGGGTCCCTGGCTCTTGCTGACATGTGAGTAGCCCACCGTGAGGCCCCCTGACACCGACAGCCTGCAGAAGCGGAGTGCTTGGAGCAGAACCTCAAACACCCTGACACCATCAAAACGCTCTTTGATTTGTTTCAGTTTAGTTTCGCCATAAACCAACCCCCACGCCGGGCGCACACCCATCTGAGGGGCCTGGCGGGTGGCGCGCTGTTGGGAGCAGCAGTGTCCAGGGCGTGGCTGGTCGGCTGACCGCCCAAGGCAGCACGGGCAGCTCGTGAGGTGTCCCTCGGACCCAGCGCGGCTGGTGCAGGCCCAGGAGCCCAGGCTTTCCAGAAGCTTCTGGGCGATCCCCACGTGTCACAGCACCGGAACCACAGTCCGGGTTACGGTGTGTACTGCCTCGGCCAGAGGAGCTGAGTGGCGAGGGCTCGGGCAGCGCCCTGGGTGTGTCTTCCCGGCCCCGGGAAACCCGGGTGGCTGGAGGGGCCAGAGGGCACCTCCCGAACCCAGCTTCCGTTAGTGTGTAAGAGCGGGGCAGCCGGACACCCAGCTCACCGCTTCCCTCCTTTCGACACTGCCCGGCGCAGGGGCCGCCGGGACGCAGGAGCGCTCCCCCCACTGCCCGGGCAGCCCAAGCTCTGGCTGCTTCCAAGGGCAAAGCCTGGGCAGCAGCCCGGAGGGATCTACCGGGGCAGGGGGGCAAGGGCTGCACCCCAGAGAAGCCAGGAGGGCACCTGAGGAGGCGGGCAGAGGCTGCCACCCCGCCATCTCGGGGCCCCGTGCCAGCAGAGACAGACTGAGAGGGATGTTCGAGGGCTGATTACTTGGGGTGAAGGACCCTGGAGGCGGCATTTAGGGTGCTGTGCGGAGCCCCTATTTCAGGTATGTCTTCCCCAGACCATGTGCACAGAGCAAGCCTGGGGCATGTCTGGGCCCCAATTTTCGCTCAGCAAGGGGTTACTTGAGTCTTCTAGTTTCCACGGACTTGGGGCACAGGTGTGGCCCAGAGTGTGGGGGGGCTTCCAGCTGACCCGCCCCTTCCAGGAATCCCTAGAGCCCTGTGGGGTCACCCCTCTGGGCCCAGCAGCCAGGGATCTGTCAGAGGCAGAGCCTTCCTGGGCCACCTCCCGCTCCCCTGCCCACAGCACCACTGACACCAGGGGAGGCCACACCCACTGCAAAGTCCAAAGAGGGTGCCTCCCACCCCCCACCCCGCTCCCCGGGGGGCCCCTTCCCAGGAGAAAGTCCAGGCCAGGAAGCAGAGAGACCCTCTCTCCTCCCCACCCTGGGTAGCGGCCCTGCCCCACTTGGCTGGCTTGGCAGGGGATGGTGGGGGGAGGGGAGGGCAGGGGCCCGGGGCTGCAGGGGGACCCACCTCGTGCCAGCAAGCCTGAGTTTCCAAGACAACCCGAGAGAAGGGAGGAGGCGGCCCTGGGCCACAGTGGACTCTGATCTGACCAAGCAAAGGCTGGAGGCCTCCCCAGCGTTAACCCTTTCCTTCCTGCTCTGCCCTGAGGACCCCCGGGGCAGGGGTGGTGGGGGCAGCAGTCCAGCCAGCCTGGCCATCTCTGCTGGGCC